TCCGTTGAACTGTGCCTGCGGTCCGTTTTCCCCCCCTTCTTTATCTTAGTAAGAAAATTACTGTGCACTTTAATAATAATAATAATAATAATATAAAACAACAACAACAACAACAACAACAACAACAACAACAACAACAACAACAACAACAACAAGAAGAAGTATAGAAATACAAGAATCTCCAATATTTCCATGTCCCCTTCCTTTTAAAAGATAAACCAAGAGGGCCCTTATGAGTTCTGCTTCTACTGAAAGTACTGTCTTGGAGACGTTACCTTATAAAATAAGAGAGAGAGATATGGTCTTATAAAGAAAGTAGTTCTGTCGAAGAGATGTTACCTTAATACATAAACTAGATCTATTTCTGTTCCGGAGATGTTACCTTATAAATGACGTAGTTTTGTTCTGCAAATGTTACCTTATAAATGTGAGGCAGCGTGGTGGAATCAGGCTCTTGTCAAAATAATCAAAGTGAACAAACTTGCATTTTTCTGCAGGTTTGTGAATTTTTATCAAAATTTTGTTTTTTGGCTCATCATCTTTCATGCCCATTAAAGAACTCATTTCTGTGTGGATTTTTCTGAACACAAAAGATGTAAATTTTCAGTTACCACGGACTCTTAAGCTAAGGAAATAACTAATTTTTGGCGGCCATTTTCTCACCAATTTTACCTTTGAAAACAAGTGACCCTCACCTCCTTCATTCTCAAATATCTTGACTTGTATTTAAGATAAGCGGATATTTTTTTCTTCCAAATAAAGACAAGTGAATAAGCTTTAAGATGATACCAATAACTCTATGTGCCCAAAAATTGACTAGAGCCTGATTCCACCACGCTGCCTCACAAATAAAGAAGTTCTGTTCCGAAATGATACCTCATAAATAAAATATTTCTGTTCTGCAGATGTTACCTTATAAATCAAATATAAGTTATGTTCCAGAGACATTACATTATAAGTTTTGAAGTAGTTCTGATCCGGAGATGTTATCTTATACATAAACTAGATCTAAGATAAGATAAGATACATCTTTATTGTCCAGATCCTGGCACATTGGTTTGGTGTTCCACCACGAGTATACACACACACACACACACACCCGCACACACACACACACACACACACACACACACACACACACACACACACACACACACACACACACACACACACACACACACACACACACAAAAACCATGCGGGTGGTTGGCGGGTGCTCTGTTGTGGTTTGCTCCTTCTTTTCTATCAAACATCTATCATCCCTTTCTCCCCTCCTTCTTTTTATGTTTGTTACTCTCTTGTAACACCTCTAATCTTCTGGCGCTCATATGACCTTATGCAGTTGCGAGTGCCGTAAAACCTCTACTAATACATACTAATACACAAACACACACACGTACACACGTGCACACACATGCACACACAAGTAGGCTTACAATCACATACATAATATAAATGAGCAGCAATATAAACAATAATAATAGTAAGCTAGATACACACTCAATGTTATTTTGATGCATGCTCTAAGGTCGTAAGTACACTAAACAAGATGGTTAAGATGGAAGCATTTTGATAGATGATAGTAAAAATGACATTCTGTATCTTTCTTTGTTACAGACCAGAAGCTACTTCTGTTCCGCAGATGTTAACTTACACATAAAGTAGATCTACTTCTGTTCCAAAGAAGTTACCTTACACATAAAGTAGATCTACTTCTGTTGTGGAGATGTTATATTATAAATTAAGTACTTTTGTTCTACAGATGTTACCTTATAAATAAAGTAGGTCAGTTTTGCCTGCGCCATAATGGTCTGGAACTTCCACAGAGTCTCCGATATCGTCTCCAGATCTTTCGGTGCCAACTGGCCCCTGAACAAGTCTGCGGGAGAGAGTACAACGTCTGGCGGAACTAGGTCAGGAAGAATTATATTTGGTCGCTTTTAATGACAAGCGGGCTAACCCAGTTTTAAGGTGTTTCCAAAAATCTTGACCTGCACCAAAAGTGGATATTGCCCTACCTAAAGGAGAAGTTGGTTTCATTGGTGTGTGTATTTCTGTCCCCGTGGTTTTATGCACCCCGCATAATTTAGCAAAATGTGATCATTTTTTGCCTAATTTCTGATTATTTTCCTTTATCATTCTTTGTTAACATTACAGAATCGCATAATTTCACATTTTTGGGCTCAGTTTGCATAATTTCAGAATTTTTCTTGCATAAAACGACGGGGACAGCCCTATAGTATATTCAGTGTTTAAGATCACTGATCCAGGTCACATACACATTTTACAAGAACCAAAGACTTCCTTGAAAAGAGTGTGTATTATAAATATCATGATACATTATATCAATATGATTTTTTAAATTGTGCGTTGTGTTGTTGTTACGCAAAGTTTCAACACTAAAATAATTAGGTCAAGGGTGGCACCCCAAACCCCATGCTAACTAAAAGTAATACGTACCACAAACAGACAAACAGATAAACAGATAAACATACTAACAGATAAACAGACAAACAGATAAACAGATAAACAGGCAAACAGACACAAATAGACAAACAGATAAATAGGCAAACAGATAAACAGATAAACAGGCAAACAGACAAACAGATAAACAGGCATACAGACAAAGAAACAAAGAGATCAACAGACACACCAACAAACAAACAGACAAACAGGCAAACAGACAGACAAACAGACAAACAAACAAACAAACAGACAAACAGGCAAACAACCAGAAGTAGGTCACCCACGCTCCAGGTTCCCCGGTAGTTCTGGCAAAGGCGGGAGGAGAGAGACGTTGACCTGCACCAGTTCTTTCAGAAGTTCAAGGTCTAGCTGTGACCCATTTATTTTCCCGCCGCTCTGCGAGTGGTCCAGGGACCCCTGTGAACTGACCAGCGCCGGCCGCGCCAGGAACTGGGGCAAGGCGACCTTGGGCATCTCCGCTCGTTTGATGATGGCGAAGATAACGGCCAGGCTGACCACAGAGGTGACGAGGAATATACAGCGTCCGTGGCGAGCCGGGGTGGACTTCTGGGGAATGAGAACAGAGTCTCCTAGTATAATACTATGTATGCGGAGGACTCTTCCTCCTTTGTACGCAGCCATTTGTCATCCAAGTTGTCAGCACCGCAAACTTCTCTTCGGGGCTTCAAACAATTCGAAAGGATAGGCACACCAGGCACGAACAATAGCTGCAACAACAACAACAACAACCAGAACAACAACAACAACAACAACAACAAAACAAGGATAACAACAAAGTCTTTAACAGCAAAAGCAACGGCAGCAGCAAAAACAACAACAACAAAACAAGGATAACAACAACGACAATAACTGCAAGAGCAACAATAACAACGACAGCAGCGGTAACAACAACGACTACGACAATCACAACAACCTAAACGACGGCGACGTCTACAACAATAACAACGACAACCGCACGGACAGCACAACAACAACAACATCGCCACCACCATCTCCCCACTAAAACCATAAATCCACAACAGCAACAACAAAATGGGACTACAACCCCCATCACCAACACCACAGTCACTGCCTACCCCCCCCCCCAACCACCACCACCAACAACAACAAAAACAACGAAACCACCACCGCTTCAGCCACCTACTACTGCTGCTGCTGCTGCTGCTGCTGCTGCTGCTGCTGCTGCTGCTGCTGCTGCTGCTGCTGCTGCTACAACAACAACTACTACTACTACTACTACTACTACTACTACAACTACTACTACTACTACTACTACTACTACTACTACTACTACTACTACTACAACAACTACTACTACTACTACTACTACTACTACTACTACTACTACTACTACTACTACTACTACTACTACTACTACTACTACTACAGGTGACAGACCTTCGCCCCAGCGACCTTGAGCGTGGCTGTACACTGTCCAGAGATCCCGTTGACCACCTGACCATGGGTCATCGTGTCTGCCCGTGCCAATAGGGCGGCGCTCACCTCACTCACACATCTGTGGGGTGGTGGGGGGAGGGGGAGGGGTGGTGGGGGAGGGGGAGGGGTGGTGGGGGAGGGGGAGGGGTAACAGCAGGACAAGCGTTAATTTTTATACAATTTATTTGTGAAGGGTGCTGACAAAATGAGCTAATTATCACAATCCACAAATGCAGATATTGGCCAAAAATCGACACCAGGGTCAAATGTCTAGGTTTTCTATCGAAGCAATATTCATTAAGTACTAAATGCCCTTAGTTATTTCATACTTACTAATGGTAAAATCTTAACTTATAAGCATGATGGATCTATTTCCATCGGGCTAAAATTTGAGAAGTAACTCATTTTATCAGCACACTTCACATTTAATGTCTCTAGTTGTTTCTACGCCCCCATCAACACAATTAGACCATTCAGAAGACGGACTTCGACCCTACATGTCAGGGCCAACCCCGGCTTGAATTAAAAGCCCTTGGAAACCGCAAATTATGTACGTTTGTTTCTGCCTCTGATCGACGTTTATCCACAACATCCAGGCAAAAACGTGTAAGTATGGTGTAGAGGAACATGTGAGGCAGCGTGGTGGAATCAGGCTCTCGTCAAAATAATGAAATTAAAGAAAACATAAGTTTTCTGCATGCTTAGCAATTTTTATCAAATTTTTGTTTTTTGGCTCAACGCCTTTTATGTCCATTTACAAACACAATCATTTGAGGATTTCACAGAAAAACAATGATTAAAGGCACAAAAATATAAATTTACAGTTTCCATGGACTCTCCAGCTTTAGAATTTACCAAGTTTTGGCGGCCATTTTCTCGTTAATTTTACCTCATAAACCAGGTGACCCCACCTCCTTCAATCCAAAATAATAATATCTCCACTTCTACTGAAGATGAATGAATACTTTTTTTTATATTGAAAGCAAGACGAATGAACAACCTTTAAGATGATACCAATAACTCTACATGCCCAAAAATTGACGAGAGCCTGATTCCACCACGCTGCCTCACAAATGATTAAAATTGCCCAACTGGCGGTAAAATGTCGTTTTCTTCGATTTTATTATTTTGACAAGCGTCTGACTTCACCACGCTGCCTCACATAATATTATTTCCGGTTTGTTTCGTTCTTCTTTTTTTTTTCTCCGCACGGGACTGAACACATCCGAATTTCTGCTGATCTAACTCATTGTCTCAATTGTCAGTGTACTATAAGTGTAGGCTTGTGTCAGATAACGAGCTCTTGTCTATAAATGTTGATAGTATGCTAAATCGTAGGGGGAATAGAAATTTCTCAATGTCATGTATGTATTGCATGAATTATACCGCCATGGAGTGGAAAAGTGATGCTATCAGTTTTTTTGGGGGGACGGAAAGGAATGATTAAGACAGACTAACGTGAAAATGGACATACGATCACCGGAGACCATTCTTCTAACAAGCTAAAAAAAAACAAACCGAGAGGCTATAAAAGAAAAGCGCAGAGGAAAGATCCGAAAAGGCATTTTGCAGCTTCACGACAACGCTTCAGCACACACTTCAACTCAAGAAAAGCTGCAGAAACAGCGCGAGAAAGTGGTTATGAAATTTTGCCACAACCACCCTTTTCCCCAGATATAGCCCCGTCCAACCTTTTTTCATTTCCCAAACTGACAAAAAATAAGATTTAAAAGGCAGGTATTTTGAAAGTGATGAAGAGGTCAAAGACGCGGAAGAAGGCTGGTTTTCTGACAACCAATTAGGCCTATACTTTGAAGCTAAATCAATTCCTTGTTTGTTTGTCAGAAAATACAACGGGCGCCTGTGGTGTAGCTGTTAGGCGCTTCACTGTCGCACGCGGGAGACACGAGTTCAATTCCCGAGTGGGGAGAAATATCTTTATCGAGTAGGCCCTATCTCGGTCTTTCTGCTGGGAGGTTGTAGATCTATCACTCTCAGCCCACTTTGGTCCTGACAGGCAGGGTGGGAAACCGTCCTCCTATGTGTGAGGCAGCGTGGTAGAATCAGGCTCTCGTCAATTTTTGGGCATGTCGAGTTATTAGTCTCATCGTAAAGCTTGTTCACCTGTGTTTATTTAGATGAAAAAAAAAAATCCATTTATCTTGGATACAAGTCGAGATATTTGCAAATGAAGGAGGTGGGGGTCACCTGTTTTCAGAGGTAAAATTATTGAGAAAATGGCAGGCAAAGATTAGTTATAATTTCCTTAGCTTAAGACTCCGTGGTAACTGAATATTTACTTTTTTTCTGCCTTTAATCAACGTTTTTCAGAAAAAATTCACACAGAAATGAGTTCTTAAATGGGCACGAGAGGTGTTGAACCAAAAAACAAAAATTTAATAACAATTCACAAACTGCGTAAAAATTCAAGTTTCTTTACTTTGATTATTTTGACGAGAGCCTGATTCCACCACGCTGCCTCACATATGATCTAACCTGTGTTGATAGGGGCGTACATAGACCAACATAAACCCCATCCCCCCCCCTCCCCCCTCCCATAAAAAAGAAAAGAAAAGAGGAAAATAAACCACAAACATGAACACGGACACGAACGCAACAGGAAAGCTTGACACAAAACTAACCAGACCAGGAGCGTTCTTTTAGCATCAAGGAAAGCACAAAAATATCCAAAGGAAAAATATCCATCAGGGATTCAGAAAATATCTTAGAATGACAAACATCAACCCACGGCAGCGACCTCTCTCTTCATGGCACGCCAGGGGCGCTCGTCGCACGCACAAACACATTCAGTAACACATCCATGTATCCTCTCTAAATAGCCTACACATACGTGTGTGTGTGTGTGTGTGTGTGTGTGTGTGTGTGTGTTTCAAGAAATAACTTCGCACCCTAGAAAATTCCCAATGATTTTTATATAACCCAATACGACGAATAACACAACACTATAAGGCTTCTAGTATGAGGGATGGATGGAAAACAGACCGGAAATCTGTGCAGAGAGAATCGATTGTTCTCACTGAGAAACGGAGAGGATACTGAACCCGAAAGAGGAAAGTTCCATCGCCATTATGCTTGGCAGGCAAAAGACTTCGTGAGGCTGTAATTTTGTATGCACACTAATTGGCTTCCTCTTTCGGCTGAAACATTTCATATATTTTATTTGGTGTTTTACGGCGTTTGCAAATGCATAAGGTCATATGAGCGCGTGGGGCACATTCAACATTTTCAGTTGGTTGGAAATTTTGAATTTTGCCCAGGTGGCGGCCGAAGCCTACTCTTATCGATTTTAGACCACCACGGGATCGTTAACATGCGCAACTTGCGCACGGGACCTCCGAGATTTTTTTGCCCTTGTCCGAGAAGGCTAGATATAGATCTTTCCTACCAGAAGATCAGGGGTGTACCTGAAAGACAGCAGTCAGAAGGAGCCAAATAGTAGCAGTAGAAAGGCTACAGAAAGAGTCAGGAGCCCAGAGGAGGGGGCAAAGGAGGTGAGGGCGTGGGGGCAGAAAGTGGAGACGAAATCAGACGACAGAACATTGCTAGAGAACAGGAAAGGAGGTGAATGGAGACCTTTTTAGAGAAGAACATTTTTCCGTCGCTACCCGGATTCGAACCCCGGACCTTTGAATGAGAGGCAAACACCTTAACCTCTTGACCACGAGAGCCTCCGAAACATTTCAGGTTTGAACAGAGTACTTGGGGAACAAAACCAGCTCTTTAGTAGCTTAGATTTTTTTTTCTCAAAACGTTTTTTTTTTAAACAATGGATTAATTTGATAATGTTTATGTCTGATCTCTGCAGTAGCTTTAACCCTATCCGTACGCCCTGGGGTCATTTTGTACCCCCCGGATTGTATTCTTCATATTTAAGAATACTTCTAGTACAAAGAACTTTTCGAAACTTTCAGTATTTCTCAAAAAATCATTTTGACAGACTGCTATGCAAAGCGTACAGATCAGATTAACAAACAAATTTCCTCTTTGGAAGTGGTGGCACAGAGTTCCCCACGTCGTATGGATACGATAGCAAAACACGATGTACGGTTAAACAATGGATTGATTTGATAATGTGTATGTCTGATCGCCGATGTCACTAAAAAGCTTTGTAGAACATGTAAGGATTCAGGCTTAGCAGAGCGGCTTCTCACTTCCCCAGCCTAATTGCTTACGTTGAACGACATCATCATTGATCCCACAAACTCACTATGTCTCTGAACCAACCAAAAAGACTATCGAAAACACTGTACTCGAAGCCCGTTCTAAACCTCGATTTCTCAACGTCTTCACAGCTTTTCGGAAGCCTTCGTGGGGGAAACGGTTTCCATGGTAACCACTGCGAGCGCGATTTCGATAGCCTCACGTTGAAACCCTCGCCAAGCCTGGGACTGAGAGAGGGAGAGGGAGAGGGAGAGGGAGAGGGAGATGGGAAGAGAGAGCCAGTGAGCGATCGAATATTCGCGTTCAATTATAGTGCGCGTGCGTGCAAAGGAGGAGGACTGGGGGGGGGGGGGGATGTTTAGGGTAATAATTAGGGTGTGTAATACAGCAGAGCGCACTGTTGAGCGTTGGGAAGGTTGCGCTTTGTGGGGGGGGGGGGGGGTTGTTTTAGGTTTCATAATTAGTTGACATAACAGAGACTATGGCACTCTTTATTCATTTGGTATTGAGAGATTTGTCTTGGTCGTTTACAAGTTATAGCAGTGACGTTCCAAATGAAGATATCGAAAAAACACGATATTTTCCCAACCACTGGATAATTCTAATCGTGTTTCTTTTTTTTTCTTTTTTTCTTTTTTTAAAAACCCCAACTTCTTGCTAATTGAACCGCAGACACCAGGTGACACCCGCCTTCTTCAAACGTAACTATCTCGACTTTTGTTCAAGGCAGGCGGGGATTTTTTTGAAATTACACGCGAGACAATTAAAGCAAGCTTTGAAATTATGCCAATAACTTTATTTGCCCCAAAATGGACGACAGCCTGATTTCACCGTGTCGTGACACAAAATATGCGAAGCGTACTGACAAATGAGTTACTTCTCAGATTCGAGCCCTATGAAAATAGATACATCACGCTTATAGATCTAGGTGAAGCTTTGACAATTTATAAGTATGAAATAATAAAAGGCATGTTATATCTACAGAAAATGGCATCAATAGAAAATCTACAAATTTGACCTTAGTGTCGAATCTTGGTCAATTTCTCCTTTTGGGGATAGCGAGAAGTAACTCATTTTGTCAGCACACTCCAGCAATAGTCCTAACTCGCTAATGTAATTAGAAGAGGGGGGCAAAATCCGGATAATATAAAGGATAACCGGATAATTCTCAATGAAACATCATCCGAATTCAGACTCTTAACTCTCGTTCCTGACCTTTTTGCCAAAGTGGGTACACCCATTTGTTGAAGTAGTGCTAACTCGTTTGTCGAAGGGGTTCTAACCCATTTGCCGTAGCGGTTCACATCATATTATTATTCGCCGAAGAGGTGTACTAACATAATATTATCCGGATTTTGCTAAAGCGACTTATTGCCCAGCCCTAGTAATTAGGCCTAGTAGGAGCCACATTGTTCCCGATGTGCTCGGGCGTTCGAGCGTCAGCTTGGTCCGCCATTGTGCCATTTGGAAAAGCACTTTATGCGTATTTCCCACTTGACTCTGTCACTCAGGAGATCGACGTTCAGCTCGGAGATCCCAACTTTTAAATAACCTAATAGTGTTGAAAGATAGGTAGGAGCGTTAAACCTACACCATTTCAACTTTTTTTTTCATTTTTATCCATGCGAAAGGTGGACACACAAGCAAGGTGCTGATTTTGATCAAAATTATTCCACAACAGCTCACACGGTGTTTAAGTGGTGTGTCACTAACTGGGATGTTGGGATGTGTCACTGGGATGTGTCACTGGGGTGTGTCACTGGGGTGTGTCATTGGGGTGTGTCACTGGGATGTGTCACTGGGTGTGTCACTGGGGTGTGTCACTGGGATGTGTCACAGTGGTGTGTCCTTGAACAAGACACGGTATCCTTCGCTCAAAAACAGGGCGATGACCACAGAGGCGACCAGCCATGATATGTAGACTGTCTATGTGGGTAATCATATCGTGTATTAATATTCATGCCTTATAAATCCTAGCCTATATATTTATATAACATGATCTCTAAACAAGGTACAAGAAAGAAAAAAATCAATGCATGCGAAATGACGTGTCTCCGCAAAACCACCAACGTCACCAGAAGAGACCGCATAAGAAATGAAACCATACATCTATATACTGGGATGCCACCAGTAATTCAATTCACAGAGCGTCAAAGAGTCAAATGGTTTAGACATCTAACCCGAATGCCCCAGAAACAACTAGCGGCTAGAGCTTACAATACCCGAGAATCCGGCTTCAAATCAAGAGGAAGACCAAGTAAGACCTGGCTGGATGGGGCTAAAAAGGTCTTGGAACAAGATAACATAATCACAGACACCACACACCTAGCACAGGACCGAACATGTACCTCCCCTCGACATCCTAAGGATACCAGAGGAAGGAAAAAGTAAGAATGGTGAAAGTAAGTATAACCGTAGAATCTTATAGAGGGCCGACTGTCCGCTAAAGGATCCAGAGGCACTAGGAGGGTAACAGCGACGTGCACCGTCTATATACAGGATAGTCCAGGATATGAACCCGGCCGCTTCAAACGCTTCTTTATACAATGATAATGATGATGATGATGATGATGATGATGATGATGATGATGATGAAGATGATGATGAGGATGATGATGATGATCTAAAAAAAAAGCCAACCTGTTCGTTCTACACGAGACGGATACGGAAAGTGAGGTAGAAAAAACTGAAATGTTGATTGTGAGTCCTGATCTGAGTGGTGAGCTGTTATAGTGTACAATTGCTGCTGCTGTTGTTGTTGTTGTTGTTGTTGTTGTCTTTATTGGTGTTGCCTTTGTAGGTGTTACTTTTGTTGCTGTTGTTGTTGTTGTTGTTGTTGTTGTTGTTGTCTTTATGCTGTCGTTGTTGGTGTTGTTGTCGTTGTTGTTTTTGTTATTGCTATTGTTGTTGTTGTTGTTGTTGTTGTTGTTGTTGTTGTTGTCTATATTGGTGCTGCCTTTGTAGGTGTTACTGGTGTTGTTGTTGTTGCTGTTGTTTTATTGCTGTTTTGAATGCTGTTGCTGTCCATTTTGTTGTAATTTATTACAGTATTTTAAAGGGTTGTGTGTGGGTGCTCGTGTTGACACACTGTTGTGTTGATTCCAGAAAACTTTTGGTAAATATCTTCAAAATACTGATACATGATGTATAAATACATGCATTGTAATGTTATATGCAAATGCATCTCATGTATCATTATATTATACAGAGTCCAGAGAATCACTTTAATGTGCATAGTAATTTATCAACGTGTTTTGGCACAAGAAATATACAATAAGGGAAATAAATACGTAGTGTATTAAAATGCTATTTATTATTTTAGGTTTATGCCCCTTTACATTCTTGTTGACTTGTGTGAAGGGCCGACATCACTGCACAAGGGACATTCCCATAAGCGCTCCGTCCCCTGAAGAAGCACATCTCGAAGTGTGTAGATGCTGACGGTTCCAGCAATGGTTGATTCCATATCCTTCTGCTCCTCCCACTAAGTCTTGAACTTCTGCAGGCGCCCCATCATCCAATTCCAAGCTCACAAAGTCGCTCAAGATGATGGTATTCCGTCTCTTCTTGTTCTTTTTCCCGGTTTTCCTTGACTGAACGTACACTTTCATGTTTGTCAGGTCACTGCTTCCTTTCAGGTCTTGCTTTTCCAGCGAGCTCATCAGCCCGCTCATTGCCCTGGACTCCAGCATGGCCTGGGGTGAAGATCCACGTGATATTTTTCAGTGTAATCAATTTTTTTAAGGGCGGGGGGGTCCTTCGCTTTTATTTTTCTTCTTTTGATTTCTATTTGATGATGGGGCATTGTTTCTGTCAGCCGTGCAGAAAATCGAAGCCAACAT